ATTACAAGATTTAACTGCTAAGCTTTGGTCAAATTTCCCTTATTAAACTCCGATCTCCTCGCATTTAGCTTCAATTGAGAATGGGTACTAGTCCGCGCCGTCAACGAATGGACACCAAGATGCTGGATTGCCGCGCTCTTCCCGCCGATTGCCTCACCGCCATCATCTCCCTTACCAGTCCTCCCGATGCCTGTAGATTGTCACTAGTTTCCCACTTTTTCAACTCTGTCGCCAGTTCCGACGAAGTTTGGGTTAAGTTCCTGCCGTCCGACTACCAGAATTTGTTTCCCGCATCGCGATCCGCTTCTTCCTTGAAGGACCTTTATATCAACCTCTGCGATCATCCTGTACTCATTGAAGATGGCAAAAAGGTAAATATATGCATCCCGACTCTCACCTGCCTTTTGATCTTTTCGTTTCCGTGTCCCCATATAATCCTATAGTTTGGTATGTTATGTTCACTGGAAAATGATTTACTCCTTTGGTTCTTTTTAGTTCTCCTAACTCATCAATTTTATACTATAAATTAATTTGATAAGTTTATATGACAAACAAATCATAATTGAAAAAAAAAATAATTTAATTAGAAATATTCAATAAAAATTATCTATAGGAAAAAAAATTTAATTACTCCCTCCCGTCCCAAACCCAAACAATAGAATTTTTTGATTTTATGTTTTTAAGGATTTGGGAACAATTTGCGCGGACTGTACCATTGATGTAAGGGAACTCTACGAATAGGGGTGGGCAAAATCGGTTTTCGGTTAAAACTGAAATTGGTTTTAAAATAACTGAAAATTTTTTTTAAATTTTGAGAATCGAAACCAAATTAAAATTATCAAAAATTGATCGGTTCAGTTATTAATAAGTTGATTTAAAATTGGTTCGATTTCAGTTTTTGATAAATAAATAATAATTAATTATTTTTTTAATAATATATTATATTTTATAACATATTTTATTATATTTATTTTAATTTTAGTTTTAGATGATTTATTTTTGGTTTATTTTTGGTTTTTGATTTTTGAGAAATTCAACCAAAACCGAATAAAAATATATTCGATTGATACTAAAACCAAAAAAATAAAACTGAAAACCGTTGAAACCAAACCAAATTTATTTTTTTGATTCGATTTTCGGATAAACCATCGGTTCAGTTTAAAAAAGCCCAGCCCTATCTACGAATATAAGGACCTGCCCCTCTTCAATAGTTATAAGGTGTGCATTCTGGCCCTGGTTTACAGTACTACAGTATGAGGACGAACCAGCAGCGTAGCCAGAGGGGGCACAATTATAAATTACCAAAAAATTTATTTCAAGTTAAATGGGTTATAGCATCCATAATTTCTTATTATGAAGAGAATATATAAATACAAATAAAAAACTAAAAATAATGAAAAAACAATAATACGGCAATGATATAATATAAATACAGATAAACAAATGATAAAGGAAAGAGAGATAAAATTAACTTTACTCCTTTTAATGTAATTATTCAAATCTTACAACTTAATATGCAAAATACCGAAATCTTAAAATTCAAAAAATAATAAAATTAAATAATCATAACTAATAAAATAGTAAATAGAAACTGAAAAAGAAATGCTTCAGAAATTGATTAAAACAAGTCATTATTGCTAAAGCCTTTCAAGAAATAGAGTAATTTGTGTGAATAGATTGAATTGCAAATTGAAATAAAACAAAACAAAACAAATTAAGTACACAAATCTAGATTTGCGTTGTAGGGGATTAACATAAGAATAGATATAAAACTTAAACCTAATGCTAAAACATTTGTTGACAAGTTGACAAATAACCATGAAATAGGTACAAAAACAAGACAAAAAGGATGATTAGCATAAGCAAAAACGGAAAATCAGGACGTCCTGGTATGCCAGGACGTCCTGAAAATCCAGGGACCCTTAACATAAACTCATAACAACTTGAAAGTAACAATGATTCTTCTTCACCGCCGATAAGAATTAATTAAAAGACTAAAACCTCTTTCCCAAATAAATTAGAAATCAAACAATATAATCAATTAGCAATTACAGTTAAGAAAATTAAAAATCAAATAATCGATAATTTAATGTCCAAAGCCAAAAACAATTGGCAATTTCAATAATCCATAACTGTAGAAGAACGTCCCAATGAAAACAATCAAAAGTCCATCGTTGATTACGAAATGTGTTAAAATGGTAGAGTTATATTTGGAATTGATAAAAGAGAAGAATGTGAGATTAAGCGATAAATTACGATATAATTGACAATTAACTTTAAATTTGCTCTTTTTTTTTTACTTAATAATTAACATAGATATATTTCAATTTTTTATTTCATAATTAAACTTAAAATTTTTTCAATATTTTAGGGGGGCTTGGAGGGGTCCGCCACTGGGACAGACTATGCATCACTTTTCTGATTGCATACAGTCAAACTTTACCCAAAATTCAAATGAGAATAACTAAATCAGACTAGAGAAGAGGGAGTACATGGTTTCTTAATAAAATCTTACAGTCCTAAATCTTACAATCTTAGGTAGTGTTAATCATTGGCTCTTTTCAGTTTTTCATTCAGCAAGGTACTTGACTCGATATGCATTCGCTCAACATATGCATATTGTATGATTTCATTGTTTGGATTGAGTATGAATCAACTTAGTTTGTAAGCTTAAAGAAACCAAGTTCTGATAATGCCTTCCTTTTCCAATTGCTGTGTGCAGCTAATTAAGCTAGGTTTTTACCACCAAAAAAAAAAAGTTAATTGAGCTGAGCTATGTACTTTTTGTCAATTGTGAATGGTTTTTCCGAGGAACTTTTAACTTTTTTTTTTTTTTTGTTACAAACTTCTTAAGGACTTCTAACATTTATTTTGTGTGTGTAGCTATATATGTCTTGTTAAAAGGCCATGACTTGGTGTAATTTTCTTTGGTGTTGATAGTCCTGAATTCATGCCTACATGAAGCAGCTAACTGCAAAGATTTTTATTGGTATAATTTACAAAACTTATGAATGTGTTGCCTGGGTATTCAGTGCTTCTCTTTTATTGGAATATGCTTGCTAGAGGATTATGTTCTTATTACTGATGTAATGATTAATGGTAATTATGTCCTTTCTATGGTGAGTTTATGTGTTCCTTTGGTTCCTTGTTGATATTTTGAAGTTCGATTGGTAATCTTTTCCAAGCCATTCTTTTTAGTACTAGGTGTTTTTTTTTTTTTTTTTCTTTTTTTTTCGGCTTACTTTTTCAGTACAAGTTGAGTCTTTAATTGTATAACCTGTATTGTGCAGAGCTTTTCACTGCACAAAAGGAGTGGGAAGAAATGTTACATGCTAGGTGCCAGGGACCTTGGAATTATATGGGGTGGTACTCCTCAGTATTGGATATGGAACTACTTACAAGATTCCAGGTCTCTCTCTCTCTCTCTCTCTCTTTCACACACACACACACACATGTGCAAACACCACACGGAAAATGCAGACAAAAGGCATGTGTGACACAGTTACACTCACACCCAACCAAAAGAATTCAAGCGTGTGGTTGATTGCTTTTAACTGTCTTCACCAACTAAACATGAATAAATATGTGAAGTTTAATATCTATAATTCATGCTTAATTACAAACAGGTTCCCTGAGAGTGCAGAGCTTCTCGAGGTTTGTTGGTTTAATATCAACGGGTGGATCAATACTTGCAAGCTTTCTTCAATGACACATTATAAGGCATACCTTGTGTACAAACTGGCAGCCAGAGTTGATGGATTTAGAAATAAACCCATAGAAGCCACTGTTCGACTTCGCGGAACTGAAGGTTTGCGGCGAACTGTGTTTCTGCATGCAGAAGGTGAAGATGTACAAAATGATTACCAATACCCAATAGAGAGGGGAGACGGTTGGTTAGAGCTAGAGTTGGGTGAATTCTTCAATGAAGGAGGTGAAGATAGCATATTGGAAATACGGATTTTTCATTTTGATGGTAGCTGGAAGAGAGGTGTCTTTATTGAAGGCATCGAAATCAGGCCAAATTAGCAGGACATGACAAGATCTTCTTCCACCCTGTGTATTTTGTGTGGGAAAACATTGCTCCTCATGTTAAATTGCGATTGTCATGCACTAATCTTCATAAATATATGAGTTCTATTGTTATCTAGATGCGATTTTTGAATCTTTATTTGAACAATGTATGCCTAATCTATAGAGTTAATTACTGGTTTTGATTTGATTTAGGGGAGAGCATTTTTAGGACTTCAGTCTGTAAGAAAGAGCATTTCAAGAATACTTGATCTTTTTCAATTCAGGACACAAGGTGAGTTCTATATATGTCTAAAATACAATGTGAAGGGGCCTTTGATCCTGAGAATGGAAGCTGCCATTGGAGTCATTGTGAGATACTAGGGGATTAGTGGTTCGAGGAGAGGTGCGATTATTATTCAATATTCCTCCACTGTTCTAATTGAAACTTATAAAACTAGCTAGAATTCAAGAAAGCCTAAAGAAAACACACCAACATTATAGCAAAGACTGATTCTGAATTAGTAGTTAAAGCCATTTCGAATACAAATGTATAGCTGTGGAAATGGTACCAATAAAATAATTATAGATGTCAATGCTTTGAGACACTCCATTGTTGATTGTTGATTCCAACACATTACAAGGTTGCAAATGAGTCATTTTACTTCTTGCAATACACGTGACGGGGGAAACCATGATATGCCACAGCGACAATCCACATTGATAAGCGATTGCTTGGGTGGCACTAAATTAGGGTATGGTGACAGAAGCGTACTGGCCACGTGACGCCGTTAGCATTTATGGTGAATCTTGAGCCTTTTCTATCCTGTTGATAACCAGCTTTAGTAAGGTAGGGAGTATTTATACGTCGTTGGCATACATATTGATTTTTTTAGTACAATGGTACATATCAAATATTAAAATTTTTTATATATTATCTTGAATTTATCATTATAAATACATATTTTTAATAAGTTTATGGGTGGTTTTTGTGCATTCAATTTTACCTCGGGGCCAGCAGTATGCAAATTTTTCTAGGACCGATAGTCTGACTAAAATACCTTATTCCCTTCTTCTCCCTAGCACAAAACAGCTCAAAACCCTTTAAACTCCAAATGAAACATACCAAATCAAGTAATTTCAACACGCAAACCCCTTGATTCAATGCAAAGTCCTTGGATTTTCCCAACTATAAAAAGCAAACCTATGTTAAGCTTGAGAAATTTGTCCCAGTGAAGCTTGAACTTGCAACCTTCAAGTTCTTTTAGTTTATTCCAACCCTTTGCCATCAAGACAATGTTTGTCAATGGTTGCTTGAAATTTTATTTATGTAATAGAAATTTAAAACTTTAAACCAAATTATGAATGACAACCATGGGATCCGAACACTCATTCTCTACGTTATTAAACATAATCTATTCCACTCGAGACACAAGCTTTTATTTGCAATTTTTTGTCTCATAATATATTTAGTCTATTTTTAAAACCATAATTATTTAAAGTTTGTTCATAAGGGTACTTGAACGTGTGATCTTTGGTATAAGAAAACACCCACCTACCATCGCAGTCAATGGATATGTTGTGAAATACTTTCCAAAATAATATATTTATATTATATTAATGAACCGATGGTTTTACTGGTTAAATCGGTTAAATCAATCAAACCATGAACCAAAAATCAAAACAGTTTGACCTCTGGTTCAGGTTTAAAAACATTGGGTAAAAGTCAACCATCAACGCCCAACCTCCCAAACTAACCAAAAACCAAAAACCAAAACTCGACTCGATCGTTCAACATTCACATTCCAAACACACGCTATCATCCACTAGTCAAACTCCCAGAAAAATAAAACGCGTTTTCTACTTTTTAATTAATTCTAAAGAATTAGACAAAAGTAAAATTGAAAAAAAAATTGCTTTCTCATTGTTGATTCACTCAACCGGACCCAACGCATTCATTTAAGCCCTTAAGAATCTGAATCAAAAAACAAAATGAAAAATGATCAAGATTTTTTACTTATTAATGAAACCAACAGCATTAAAAAGGATAGATTGAGATCAAAACTCATCTTGCTAAATTGCATAGCAGGAGAAAAAGTGAGAGGAAAAGGAATGAAAATGCGAAGCAAACAAAATACCTAAGAGATGAAGTTGGAGAGTGGTGAAAGAGATATAGAAATCAGGATTCAAGATTTAAGACTCACGAAACTAGAAATGGAAAAGGAGAGAAAGAGGGGAATCGAGTTGATCATGAATAATAGAAAGTGGAAGAAAATAGAGTCGAAATTTAGAAGAGAGAGCAAGAACAACAAAGCATCCACCGGTGAGCATGAGGTGAGGAAGGAGAATAGGAAATTTGAAATTGTAAGGGTTATGAAGCCCTCAGCCAAAATGAAGTTGTTTTGATTGGAATTCTTTTTTTTTTTTATTTATTTAAAAATATTTGCACCGGTTGAATTTCGATGTATAAGTTGGTATGTAAAATATCGATAGATATATTGAAATTTGACTAAAACGATCAAAATTTGACCAAAACAAAATTTAAACTTATAATGTTTTAGATTAATTGAAAAACTAGTACTAGTCGTGTTAATCGATACAAAATGGTATTGACTTCTTTAGGTTTTATGGATTTTTTTTTTTTATTTTTAAATGTCTCATTTTGATCTATACTTTAATAGAAAGCCTTTTTTTAGTCTTTTTACTTTAAAAATTCCTTTTTTAATTTTTTAATTTTATTATTTAGCTTCATTTTGGTCTCTTTATTATCTTTTTACACAAATTATATATTAAATAATGAAAATTTTAAAGTAAAATGATAAAAAAAAACAAAAAAGAGTCATTTTTGGTCCCTCCACTTAAAAAAATCCTTCTACTTAAACAAGTTTTTTTTTAGTCTTAATATTTTAAAATTTCTATTATTTAATGTGTTATATGTGTAAAAAAATAAAAATACTAAAAAACGATCAGATAATAAATTTTAAAAATTTTAAAAAAAAGTTTTTAAATAAAAAAATTAAT